TACCCAAACTAAAATTTTCAAAGAGTAATAACCATTTTAAATATAATGTAACCAGCCAATTATGTTTATTGTTCTCTTCCGCCATAAAAAAAAATCTACAAATGTTTATTAGTTACATATGTTTAAAAATCCCACAGTTATGTTTCGTATTGTTTTTACTATTCATGTAATGATATAATTATAGTCATCTCATGTTTGATGTCTTCTTTTTGTAGGAAATTTTCATTGGATCCATTTGAATAATGCGTTTAATAATCTATATTGATCATTTAAGTTTTTCTTTTAACGATTTTTTTTTTGTTTGTAAAGGATCAACACAACTCATAAAAATTTCGAAAGCATTTCCCTCACGCGTAAATCTAACAAATAAAAAGTGTAACCACTCACTCTTGCGTCATCTCAACACAACTACTTCCTCTAAATGGAATGCACTCTAAACTTACGACTCTTAATCTAACAATATGAAAAAGCAAATTACACCATTAATAATATTAATCTTTTAGTAAGAAAAATCGACAATGGTCCGTACAAAAGAGTGTTATTATAAATAGACATATCCCTACACACTCATTTCATCACATATTCCTTAGATAATCAAAGATACGAAACCCCAAAGGTTGCAAATCACTCTCTCTAAATTTTCTCCTGCTCTTAATTTCTTTTACATCTGCTAATGAAATCTTTTTTATATTCGTCTCTCTCTTTATAAAAATTGACCTCCTTCACATACTCGTAAACATTTGTTCTTCCTTATATTAATATACATTTTCAAAATAACCACACTATTTGATTACTATTATTATTGTTTCACCATTCTTATGTCGATCGGTCGTTGAATCTCAGAGGCAAAAATAATGTCGATGAAAATGGGATCAACAGGTGGTCACCAGGTTGGAGTCGCGTGGGATGATGGAGCCCATGAAAATGTTACAAAGATACAAATAAGTCACGATCTCCTTGGTGTCAACTTCATCAAGTTTGAGTACCTCGACGGTGCGGAGATTGTAACGGGAGAGCAATACCTCACAGAATCGGATACATGTTTGACCGGAGACGAATACGGCCACGGCAAGATTTCAGACAAATCACCCATAACCGAGGAGGTCCATTCATTACCAAACTATATAACAACATTGTTTAATTTCTTTCTCGATTTTGATTTTTTCACAAATATTTATTTTAATTTGTGTTAGCAGTTTGAGCTGGAACCAGATGAATATATCACTGAAGCGGAGACATATGTGAATTTTATTGGCAATGCCATTGGTCACGTGCTGATGTTTATATTCAAGACGAACAAGCGAACATCTAAGGCTTATGGACTCGACCAATTCCCTTATGGCCGAACAAAGATGGTGCTTGGTGAGAAGAACAAAAAGATTGTTGGATTCCATGGAAATTCTGGAGATCATATTCTTCATGCAATTGGTGTTTATGTCTCTCCAATCAACAAGACAAAAACTTTTAAGCAGGGGGTTTCTAAGGTTCTTCATAAGATTAAAAACAAGCTTATTTAGTCGATCTCTCTGTTTCTAATCTCCTTTAAGGACATATAATGTCTTCTTCTTATGTTGTCATTGTTCTTCTTTTTCTAATGTCGGTCACTTCTTCCTCGTATGCTGCTTATAGTATCTTTACATGCGCACGTGTCTTATGTTTATGTCGTTGTTCTGATGGAATAAATGAAAGTAGTAATAAGTTTGTATTTAGTGATGGCATCATCATCTTGTTGCTTTATTATTTATAGAAATTTTACGTTGAAAATTTATATTTATGAGCTTTTTACTATTTCAAACGGATTCCAGTTTTTCCTAAGACAATGATAAAAAAAATGTGTATTACATCATTAACGAATATTAAAACGATATAAAGATAGAATGAGATATATTCAATTGGATCAAAGTAGTTAAATAAAACTAAATGTTGATTTTTATCTCGTTTCAACGGATTAATTTACGTCTAAAATTTTCTGAATAATATATAAACCTAACACAAGCATATCTTTTATAAATAAATAAAAATACACACAATGAAGAAAAACCTTAATTAGATAGCTCCAA